TCCACGTCCATCGCCGATCCTCTTTTTTCGTGAAGAAGCTGTTTCCGTGAAAGAGATTGCATTGCTCTAAGAGGTCCATCAAACGTTCGCCGTTCTCGTTTGTTTCTCCGGTTCCGTGTGGCCCAATGCGCATTTCCTCATGGATGACTGCGTTAAAGTCTCCGACAACATATTTGTAGTAGGACCGTTCCCTTTTTATCATCTCCTCCAATTCCTTGTAGAACGCGTCCTTTTCTTCGTCCGTAGCTGCTGACGTCGGTGCATAGCAGTTGATAATACTAACGAAAGTGCGCTTGTCGATGCGTAGACGTAGGATGGCCAGTCGCGGGCCGATCACTTCGACTGAATCGACCATGTGCTCGAGCCGATGGTGGACGAGGAATCCAACACCACCGACATTTCTTCCGCTCAGTTTGGCTCCGAGAACAATTAGGTGGCCATCGTTGGTCTTCCTGGTAGCTGTTTCTTTTGCTTTTGTTTCCTGGAGAGCGATGACATCGAAACGAAGTCTTTTACTAGCCTCCAGTAATATGGTTTGGTCGGCTATCGAGGCAATGGTGCGACAGTTGTAGGTGCAGACTCGTAGACAGTCCCCATGCCTCGAAAGCTTTCGTCCTGTGCACTCCAAATCCTGCGGCGGTTTTTGTCTGCAGGTCCCTTCAGGTCGCCGTTTGCTCCAGTGCACGTAGAGCTCGTGCTTCCTTCTGCGCCGCTCCGGACCCTCTGTGTGCGTGTTGTAGCTTGTTTGTTTACCAATCCTCGGGTAGCTAACCCTTTGAGGTGGTATGTACCTCCACTGTTAGCCGGGATATTCCCGTTTCGCCCCTCGCCACTTCGAGGACCAGTGGTAGGATTTTGAGGGGGCATATCGTTATTACTACAGGAAAAGCTTACTAGATCGCTACCTCTACTCCGTCCCGAAATGAATAGCTACAGCCCTTACTCGGCTTATCCCCGCTCAGTATTAATGTTACTATGGGCTGACCGTCTGATTGCGACGTTTTCGTTGAACTCTACTGAAGCTGTACAGCAGCCAGCGACTCAATCACGCAACTCTGTCCAATCTGCGAAGTAGGTTCATCGCTCCCCCACATGCTATTTGAAGTTTTTTAAATTTTGACAATTTACCCTTGTACTTGTCGGCTCGGCACTCGACATACCTGAGATTTCATCGACCTTCCGATTAGCATCAAGCTGGCGCTGCAATGACAGAATTGCATTCACTTTTCTAGAAACCCGACTTATCTTTTTCATTAGTTCATTACACTGTGAAACAATTTTTCCTTCACCCAGTGCACGCCACTCTGAGCTGTCACCTCCATTTCCACTAACTCGCCTTTGGGTTCATGGTCTGGAACAGGGATATTTTTCACTCTCAGATCTCATTGGGTTCTCCGACGCTATCGACTCAGCAATCTCGCGAGCGCTTAGTATATCTTCGGTGTGGTGTCCATGCTCTTTCCTGTACCACTTGATGCCCCAGCACACGTAGTGCGGCTAACTAGTGCTACCGATGTAAGGACCCAGACACCACGCTGATCTCAGCGAGCTGGATTCTTTCTCTGTAATCACTCAATAGCTAACAACGCGTACAGTCAGGCGCTACTTGCACGGAGCAATTAACGAACTACAAAAAAACAGGCAAGGAAAAAACTGCCCCCAAATGATTTACCTTTGTTGAACGTGCTACTTGCAAATGGCGACGATCACAATTTGTAAAATGATAGCAAATAACAAATAGTTCGACTATCTGAGAGATTGACTCGGAGAAGCGAAGGAAAAAATTCATCATCTTACAATGCACACTTCACTTCAAAACAATGACCAGCTCAAAAGGAAATGAAATGGAAACATCATGAAACGATATCCTCAAAACAATCATCATTTGAACGCAAAAGAATAAAAGAGTTGAGAGGACAGAGTCGGTGGACGGCTTCTTAACAATGAAGGAAGATTGCTCCTTTTTGGCCACAGCCGACCGCTTGTCGCTGTGAGTTTCCCGTCAATTCGTTTCCCCACCCCTTTTTTTTTTTTGGGTTTTTTTCACACAAAAACAACTGACAAGTACCCAGAGCTAGCCGTTCATAACTTTTTCCTAGTTTTAGTGAGCGTTCAGGAATAGCTTCGAGTTGTTATTTATTGTTCCCTACGTGAATCTGAAAAAAATCGAGAGGAAATAAACACAACTCAAAGCTATTTTGAACGCTCACTAAAACTAGGAAAACTTATGAGCGCAAAGGAAGGGAAAAGGAGAAAAAAAACAAACAGGAACAATAAACATGAACGATAAATAAATGGTAATGGTACGATAATAATAAAATAATCGATAAATTTGTTAAAACAAATGGAAATCCAGTTGTTGTGCGCAGGACCCCAGTGCACTTGATTTGAGGGGCAGAATTTCCGCAGAAATCGTACGGTAGCAGAAGTTGCGGTATGTAATTGCAGCTTTGACTGGAGCAAACGGCTATTAGCCATGGAGCGAGAATTTTCAGCAAAGTAGGGTGTCTTTGAAGGACCATAACTTCCTCAAAAGCGGACCTGTGGGGAAGAGGAGAGCGTATTGGTAAATTAGAAGGTTTGATCTTCCTGAAAGTACTAAAATGTTCATGAAGGTCGCGAAAATCACAGAGAAATCTGCCATAGGGATTCGTTGGGGAGTGAAGGGTTGAAGTTCGAGTTGAACAGGTTTGAATCAATATATTTTTTTGTAACTCAACATTTCACAAATCTGAGAACGGATCCGAGCTTCTCAAGATTTTCTCTTTCTAAAAACCTATTGAACTGTTCCTGAAGCTCTCGGGGTTCATGAGATCTCGCGATGGGGATTTCTTAGGGAGCACTCCCAGCCGCGCGAAAAACCCGTTTCCTGTGCACCGTTTCAAGTGAGCGTGTTCGAATAGCCAGGAACGCATGTAGAACGTATCCTGTGGTGGAGCAGGAGCAGGATATGGTTCGTTTAGCGCCGATCACGCTGACTTTGTATGCGCCGCGCACTGAGGTCCGCGCAGAAGTGATGGGATGGTGCAACTTGTGCGTAATGTCTGTTCACGCGAGCAAATGTGTCTATAGTATTCAGGGAGGTCTATGACGAACCTGTGCACTTGTTTACAGTGTTTTCCCTTGCGGATGATGGCGTGTCTGTGTCGACGCCGCCCGATCTGTGCTCCTCCAATTGCTGTCTCCGATAAAGGAGACCAACTGCTGGAAAACGTGTGATACGAACGATATGGTAGTCGCGTCGCTTGTCGAAAAAAATAGGCTGGATCAGCCCCAAGCGCAATCGCGGACACGCCCCATCATCTGCAGCAAATCAGAGTATGCGTTTACTGTTTAGTCATCAACGGACTTACGAGATGATGTCGACTCATTTAAATTCCAGTTATTTCGTATTTTTATAGCTGAAAGTTTTGTCCTTTTTTCAAATATCCGAGTTCTCTACAAAGTAAGCTTCGCTGTACCGGACTCAGCACATTGACACCTTTGCGCTGCTCGATACTGGCTACGCACTCATTACGACCCCCCCTCTCCTGGCGGCCAAATACGACCCCCCCATGGGGATTCCCCAACCAATGCTGTGCCCTGTCTGCAGATTCTGCCTTCCAAAATTGCTTGACGAAAAATCCTCTTTTCGAAAAACCTCTTGCTTGGCGACCAGGATCCTGGCTCGCCATTCCGTTATGAGCCACCGGTGTATGCGGCATGCGTGATGCCAGCTTGCTCATTGAACAACCGGCGCAGCACGAAGCCCTATATAGTTGCACATCCTGAGGCTGCGTTTATACTTTTCGGCAGCGTCTACAAGCAAACCAATAGGGTCCAGTTGCGTCTACTAGCGTCCACCAGCGTCTACTACCAGCTTCAGCCCGTCTCGAGGGCCAGGGAAGTACATATGTGTGGACGTAGCGTCTGCCAGCGGCTACCAGCGACCAGCAGCAGACTGCTGGTAGAGAGTATTTCGTGATAGCAGGGTAACAGATGTCTGCCACCCTCCTATCGGGTCACGCCCTCTATTAGCTGGCTGCTAGGCTCCTATTGCGCCATACTCTCTACCAACAATCAGGTGCCCTCTTATTTACCCATATCTACCAGCTCTCTGCTACCCCCTATCGCGCCATACTTTCTGCCAACAATCTGGTACCCTCCTATCTACCCATACTCTACCAGTTGTCTGCTACCATCCTATCGCGCCATACTCTCCACTCCCGGCTCTGGTGGACGCTGGATCGGTAACCTTGACGCTGGTAGACGTTGACAGACGCTGGCAGAGGCTAGATCGATATATACCATTTTCACTTTAAATTCACCCTTTTTCAAACCAAATTCACCCTTTTTCAAACCAAATTCACCCTTTTTCAAACCAAATTCACCCCTTTTCAAACCAAATTCACCCTCACTTTTCACATCAAATTAACCACACTTATTAGGGCGGGCAACTCATCAACCAGGTCACGCCAGACATCACTGCGAGCCACGCCCCGACGGCCACGCCCACTTGTCAGCGCGGACATAGATTCTCAAATCTTGTTTCATAACTTCTGCTTTTGCTGTTTCCCACAAACACTTTGACTGGAAACCACCGGGCATTGACACATGGCCGACTCCGCCCATTCTCTAAAGGGTTTGGCAATCTAGGCTGACCACGCCCACTTGCTTTTCGCGGAATTTCGATATTTTTCAAAATTTTTGCATTTTAGGGCTGCTGCGTGAAGCCCCGCCCACTGTGAGATGCTCCGCCCACTCTAAAGAAGTCCCGCCCAGTTTTCAAAATGGTGCAAATTGGCAGGATAGAGAATTGGCTTGCATGCTAGGGTGTCGTTCGTCACTCGGAACAAGAAAATCCGGCAAACTTTATTCCGAATGGTCATCAATACACAGCCGTGCAAGCCAAGTCTCAGGACTGTCGATTGCACCAATTTTTGAGGAAGTGGGCAGCGCTTCTTCAAAGTGGGCGGAACATCTCACGGTGGACGCGGCCTTCACGTAGCAGCCCTAAAATGCAAAAATTTTGAAAAAAAATATCGAAATTCCGCGAAAAGCCAGTGGGCGTGGTCAGCCTAGAGTGCCAACCCTTTAGAGAATGGGCGGAGTCGGCCATGTTTCCAAGTCAAAGGGTTTGTGGGAAACAGCAAAAGCAGAAGTTATGAAACAAGATTTGAGAATCTATGTCCGCGCTGACAAGTGGGCGTGGCCGTCGGGGCGGGGCTCGCAGTGATGTCTGGCTGTTTGATCTGATTGAGTTGCCCGCTTTAATAAGTGTGCTGTTAATCTTGATGTTGAAAAGCGAGGGTGAATTTGGTTGGAAAAAGGGTAAATTTGGTTTGAAAAAGGGTGAGTTCAAAGTGAAAATGGTATATACACTTTCTTATCGCTGACGCTGCCGGACGCTCGGTCGGACGCTATTGGACGCTGCCGCGATGAAGCAGCCTAATCGTACTAGACAAAGCCAATCCCCACAGCTACACTTTTTTTTGGCGAGACTATCATTTTTGAAATCGCGCTTAATAACTTCTACTTCAGCGAATGTTTTGCATTTTTATTATTTTGCGCATACACCGATTTGACAACGGCATGTATCTCTACAAGCAGATGGCTCTGACCGCTTTCGATCACTTTTGCGCAGTAAGCAGAATTTTTGATTTTCTTTTTCGCGAATGCTGATTTTTTTAGCATACAGACAAAACAAGACTTCCCTACGCCACTCTTTCCACAAACTCCAGTTCCCGAAGGTCGGCGGTTAGGAGATTCAGTAGTCCCTCGTGATAAATCAGGAAGGAAGGAATGGCACAAAATTTTTTGTGTGCGGGCGTGAAATAGCGCCGGCTCCTGAAACTCACGTTGTGTCCGTTATCAGGTCGTCAAGTAACCCATGTACACAAGTTTTGGTGGAGAAGATGTTAGTTCCAAATCGGATCCTTTCGGCGCCACATGGCGCCGTAGACAAAATCCAATGCCATATTCGTAATCTTCATTCATTTATTTGTTTATTGAGGATCATGATGCAATGTTTTTCTTGCTTATTCCTCGAGATTGAACATCACAAATTATTAGAAACCAAAAAAGACACATCTGTAGAAGCCAACGGCAACAGACCAGAAAATAATGCAAAAATTTGTGAGCTACCGGTATTTTATGACGAATGCGTGTGAGCCACCGCCGAACTCACACACAAAAATGCACTTTTTAGTGAGCTATTCAATAAAACGAAAATTCTACACATACATGTGTTCCGGCCCGCGGTAAAAGAGGGCAAAAGGCTGTCATGGATGAGTTGAGGAGTTTCTCGTTTCCAACGACACAAGTGTCGAACGTAAACTCGCTGGTTACCATCTCTACTGTGGCTAAAAT